AAAAAACCCTATATATTGAGCACAAGAGAAACACATTAAATTCAAAGATATCAACAGGTTGAAAGAGCAGGAAAAGATGTACAATGTAAACAGAACCATAACACAGATACACGGGCTGGCTGTACTAATATCAGACAAAAAAATTAAAACAAAAATGCTACTAGGAATAAAGAGGGTCATTTATAACAAAAGTGTCAGGAAGGACACCATAGCAATTATAGGTATACATACACCAAACAAATAAGCCCAACATCAAATAAAAATAATTAGAGAAGAAATTAAGGGTGAAATAGACTGTTCTATGTAAATATTCAGAGATGTCGAGTGCAACATTTGATAACTGATAGAACTAAGAAAAAGACTGACAAGGGTAAAAAAGTCTTGGGCAACATTATAAATCAACTTGAACTTACAGATATGCATATATAGACACAACACCCAACAACAGAATACCCAATCTATTCAAGCCCATGGAACATACTCCAGAGAAGACCATTTGCGAGGCCATAAGATATGTTCAATAAATTTGAGGACTGAAATCAATGTATGTTCTCTGACCACAACAGATTTAAAGAGAACATTATTACCTGAATATTTCAATAGTCCACAATTATATGGAAATTAAACATCAAACTCCCAAACTCCCAGTGAGCCATAAAAATGTCACTAAAATTTGAAATATTTTGAGACTGGAAACAGCAACACATCATACCAAAAGTAAAAAAGGGCTTAGAGTAAAATTTATATTTGTAAATATATACATTTCAGAAAGATCTGAAATCAAACCTTCCAACCAAAAACCTAGATAAAAGGGGAAAATTAAACGTCCCAAAACGGAAAGAAAATAAAAATTAGAGTAAAAAATGAGAAATAAATGATGGTGCTGTACTCTCTGCCCACTGTTGCCAGAGATTTGGTGACAGAATTGTGGCAGATGGAAATGACTTCCCTGCCCAAAAGGACCCCATAACCTCTGCCTCCAACCACACCCCACAGGTTCTATGACAGACACCTTTTTGTCTTACTTGCTCATACCCATCATTTGGGCCTGGGTCTACCCCACCCCAAGGGCTCTGAGGGCAGACAGGGAGTCACCACAGAATCTAGAAGGCTTCTTAGGTAAAAACAGGCTCTGGGGCCATCTCTAGGTTTGGAAGCCTATACACAAGCAGAGCCAAGCGCAAGGCAATACACAAGTGGAGCCAGGATTTACGCGTAAGTGGCAAGATACAAAATAGCACTCCACCACTGCAAATAGAAACACGAGATTTTTCAGGTATACAGCATGTAGTACACTCATACCTGTGATTTGTCCCCTTTAAAAAATGAGGAATAGGAATAAAGGATAAGTATTCCTTCCAGACACTGATTTTTACTGAATAGAATTTTAAAAACTCCTGTTTACAGCTGTTTAAATGAGTTCAGACAAGTTGTTTAAATGTGCCTGACTTGTGCATTCCCATACAAATGTTTCTATTCAACCCACTGACTGGCTCTGTATTAGCTTCAAACATTACACAAAATTACCCTTACTTAGTTTTGTAATACTGGTCATACAAATTTACCTAAAATAGGAGAGTAAGAGCAAATCTATATAGTGCAGTCTTTTAGACAATATATTTAACAAAATATACTGAAGTTAGAGTGGCAGTTAATGTCAAAAGTCCTGAAGTAAGTCAAATCAAACTATTACACTAAGTGTATCTATTATCTACCCACAGTTACACTGGGTTTCATTAAGATAAATTTTTAACAAAGAACATTTTTATTCATAAATGTTGCATATGTGAGGAGGCTTTTTTGTGCATTGCAGGCTGTTTAGAAACGTCAGTCTTCCCACTCAATGGAGTAGCACTTCCCAACCTTCAGTTATGACAACCAAAAATGTCTTCAGACAAAGCCAAATGACCCCTGGCAGGCAGTGTCACCAGTCATATTTGAATATTGGTAACATTCAAAATGTTAAAAATATTTTTAGTACTCCATTTATCATTTCCATTTGAAAATTTACATTTGTTACATAGATTGATAGTTTTCTCTTCATTTCAAATTCTGACAGAAAGTGTTGAAAGTTTTCTTGAAAGCTTTGACATATTAAAGAGATTCAGAAAGATATTTAACTTTATTTTCACTGTTCAATGAGAGACCCTGATAGATATTCCACATTTATTGCATTGTTTCTCCCCATAATTTGATTTTCCCACAGATTGATTTGGGTATAACAGGTGAAAACACAGGATTCTCTTCCCATTTACAGGGACTGGTAACGTCTCTCAGAAAGTTTATAAAATCATTAGCTGGAGTGGGCTGGTTATGCTGTAATGCAAACAGAGCACACATACAATGGCTCAACAAGAAAATAATTTCTTATATAATGTGTTAATGGAGGCTTTGGGATAGTGGTGAGACTATCTCTGGTTTAATTCCTTCTGTTTTAAATTAGGGTGGATTTCTCCCACCTCTGGCCCACAATTACACCCGAGTCATCTTCATTCAGTCCCAGAGAAAATGAGAAATCAGGAACTACACGGAAACTTTTTTTTTATTGTGGTGCCTGAACTGGAAGTAATGTTCATCACATATCTACATTCCCCAAAAGAGTTAAATTACATGGTCATCCACCCAATCATGGAATGCTCAGATTGCAGGCTACAAATAAGAGAGAAAAGAGTGGTTTTATTTAAAAAGCTGAGCCTAATCCATACAAAATTTCTTCCCTGTGTAAATTCTCTACTGCCTGCTATGATGTGATTCCTTTTTTACTTTTATTTTATGGTGAGTGGCTGGTATAGGGATCCTTTGTGTTATGAGCACAATGCTATAAGCAACAATGCTCTAAACATAGCTAGCCTTGAAACTTTGGAGAAAAAATGTTTTCACAATTACAGCCCTCCTTACATATCTGATGGTACACATCTGGTGATTCAACCAACTACTTATCAAAAATCCTGAGAAATAAATAAAAACATTAAATAAATGAAATAATTCCACAACTGAAAAACAACACAGAATAACAACTATTTACATAATACTCACATTTCTTCCAGAATTATAAGTAATCTACACAAGATGTAAAGTACATGGCAGAAAGTGAATTGGTAATAAGCAAACACTACACCATGTATAGAAGGGACTAGAGCATCAGCAAATTTTTATATCAATAGGGTATCCTCAAGACAACCTCCAATACCTGAGGACAATTTCATATTTATAGGTCTTCTTGAAGTAAGTTCCCTGATATCTTGAGGTATGACTTCGGCCAAAATCTTTTCCCATATGAATTACATTTACTGAGATTTTCCTTTGTGTGAATTCTTTCCTTTCTGTGAGGAGTTCCAGGAAAAGGTTTGTCATATCACATTCAAAAGTTTTTCCTGTGTGAGTATCCTGATATCTTCTAAGCTATGACTCTACAAAAAAACTTTTTCCTCATTTCATTACATTCACAGGGCTTTTCACCTGTGAACTGTCTGATGCCTGCTGAGGTGTGACTTTCGGTTAAAAGCTTTTTCACATTCTTTACATTCAAATGGTTTCTCACCTGTGTGAATTCTCTGATGCCTGCTGAGGGCTGACTTTTGGTAAAAAGCTTTTCCACATTCTTTACATTCATATGATTTCTCACCTGTGTGAATTCTCTGATGCATATAGAGGGTTGACTTTTGGTTAAAAGTTACTCCACATTCTTTACACTCATACAGTTTCTCACCTGTGTGAATTCTCTGCTGCCTGCTGAGGGTTGACTTTTGGTAAAAGGCTTTTCCACATTCTTCACATTCATATGGTTTCTCACCTGTGTGAATTCTCTGATGAATGCTGAGGTGTGACCTTTGGTTAAAAGCTTTTCCACATTCTACACATTCATATGGTTTCTCACCTGTGTGAATTCTCTGATGCCTGCTGAGGGTTGACTTTTGGTTAAAAACTTCTCCACAGTCTTCACATTCATATGGTTTCTCACCTGTGTGAATTCTCTGATGCTTGCTGAGGATTGACTTTTGGTTAAAAGCTTTTCCACATTCTTTACATTCATATGGCTTTTCACCTGTGTGAATTCTCTGATGCCTGCTGAGGGCACACTTTCGGTTAAAAGCTTTCCCACATTCTTTACATTCATATAGTTTCTCACCTGTGTGAATTCTCTGATGCCTGCCGAGGGTTGACTTTTGGTAAAAAGCTTTTCCACATTCTTTACATTCATATGATTTGTCACCTGTGTGAATTCTCTGATGCATATTGAGAGTTGACTTTTGGTTAAAAGTTTCTTCACATTCTCTACATTCATATGGTTTCTCACCTGTGTGGTTTCTCTGATGGTTCCTAAGGTGTGGCTTTTGTTTAAAAGCTTTTCCACATTCTCTACATTCAAAGGGTTTCTCACCTGTGTGAATTCTCTGATGCCTGCTGAGGGTTGACTTTTGGTTAAAAGCTTTTCCACATTCTTTACATTCATATGATTTCTCACCTGTGTGAATTCTCTGATGCATGCTGAGGTGTGACTTTCGGTAAAAAGCTTTTCCACATTCTACACATTCATATGGTTTCTCACCTGTGTGAATTCTCTGATGAATGCTGAGGTGTGACTTTTGGTTAAAAGCTTTTCCACATTCTACACATTCATATGGTTTCTCACCTGTGTGAATTCTCTGATGCCTGCTGAGGGCACACTTTCGGTTAAAAGCTTTCCCACATTCTTTACATTCATATAGTTTCTCACCTGTGTGAATTCTCTGATGTTTCTTCCAGTTTGACTTTTGGTTGAAAACTTTTTCACATTCCTTATAAATTCTCTTATGCTTGCTGAAGTTTGATTTCTGGTGAAAGACTTTTTCACATGTGTTATAGTCAAAAGGTTTCTCAACAATGTGAATTCTCTCATGATTCTTGACTTTAGACTTATTGGAGAAAATCTGACTTTCTTCACATTCACATGGATTCTTGCTCACGTCAACTCTCTGACATATAGTAAGGGTAGAATTATGGTAGAAAGATTTTTTACATCCATTACATTCACAAGATTTTTCACTTGTGTGAATTGCCTGATGACAGCTGAGAAGTGAATTCTCATGAAAGTTTTTGGCACACTTAATAAATCCATAGGACATTTCCTCTATGGGAATTCTGTGATGCACAGTAAAGTCTGACTTTTGATACAAAAATTTCTCCCGTTCATTACATGGATAAAACTGCTTCCCTGTAGATGTTTCCTGATATGAGATAAGGTATGATTTCTTAATAAAAGATGTCTGATATTCACTGTATTTATCATGTTTCTCAATCTGGTGTTGAGTAAGTTTAGCCTTTTTATAGAACATTTTCTCACATACATCACACTGAAAAGTTTTTTTCTCTACCTGAGTTATCTCTTGGGCAAAGACAGCTGACTTATTACAGGCTTTTCCATATTCACTATATTTACAGGTGGTCTCACCCATATGAACCTTCTTACATGTAAATATTATTGGCACTGTGTTGGAGGATCTTCCTTTTCCACTATATTCAAAAGGTTCCCCAGTTGGAATCTTGGGATGTTGACTAAGATGCTCATGATGTCTCTGTAATTTCTTGGATATATTACGCTCATCAGGTTTATCTCCAGCATGCATGATATCAGTCTCTGGAAGAAGTGCATTCTGACATATGTTAAACTCCTCATGCCCCACTCCTGAATAGTTTCCATTATTTATAACCAGATTTAAAATATGCTTTGGACTCAAATTAAGTGATTTTCCTAACTCCACTCTCTCCTCAGATGATTGGTTGCCACTGATGATCACACCTTGCCATAAGTATCTACCATGACTTTCTTTGCTTCTCTCAAATAAGTCACTGACTATCAGGACATCTGAAATGACAAAAAAACAAACAAAAAAACAACCCATATCCATGAACCACACATAAGCATATTTTTTGCATGGTCACGTAAAGGTAGAGAATGTTCTCCCAATCCTAGTAATAAAAGATTTTTTAAAAATCAATAATGGATATTGGTTTCAGGAGTATATGAGTTTTCCTCATTCTGACATGTTATGTTGTATTAAAATACTTTCTAACATTATGTCACATTGTTCTTTGCTTCTTTATTCTTTTTTCTTTTTTTAAACCATGATGTAATATTTGATTTTTACCTTCTCCCTGACTGTAGATTTCAAAAAATTACTTATCACCTTCCATTTGTTTACAGTTTTTACTTCATTTTATTTTTATAATAGTGGTTATCTCCTACAGCTCTTTTTCTCATTCTTCTGCTTTGAATATGGCTACGTTTTCCTTCATTGGCTACTTTCAGGTGCAGAATGATCCAATTTTTCATCACATATGGAGTAAAATGACTTAGGTTAAGATTTTTGTATGTATGTCCCTATACTTTTTATTCTTCCCTAAAAAATGGCTATAGGCCATTTTTTCAAATAATAAAATCTCCTTTTTTCCACCCTAAACAGAGCCTCCCACAAACTACTCATTTAACCTAAATTCCTGTGCTTCTCAAAACCATTACTATACAGAATACTTCAGTCCACCCCTCCAGACCCCCTTTCCTAAAATATTTGGTTCTGCAACCAAGGCTGTGCCCACCATCTTTGAAAAAGTTGTTTTTGACTCCTTCTAAAATCAACCTGTATTACCTCCCCAAACTCTGGAACACACACTCTCACTTGGTAATTCATGGCTCACAAAAGCTGTAGTATTATGCACTGGAGTTTTTTAAAAACAGCAAAATGAAATATGGAAATATATATGTGTGAGTCTATCTAAGAAATTATATAATACATGTGTTGGATGTGAGAAAATGAACCAGCCTTGGCTCACGCACCTGTGGAAGAATTGCCCAAACCAGCTGAACACAGCCAAGGTCTGCTGGCTTTTACTCATTCTTGTTTTTGCCCAGGATGTGTTTACTAACCTGGGAGGCTCTGGTTTGGGTTTTCTTCTATCATCCATGGCTCTGCTCCTTTCTCCAACTTGAGGATCACCTCAGGTTTACTAATGCAGTGCCCTGCTAATGGGAAGTAACATACAACTTTATAAAACTGCAAAGCCAGATCCTTGGAAGAATGACAAGAGCTCAGCTCCAGAAATTATACAATAAATAGGCCAATTTGGAACTTTTGTTAGATGGGGATGACATGTTTTTCATGAAATGTAATCTTAACAAATAGCATAAGACCCCATAAACCGTTACTATTTTTATAAAAAAAATAACAAAATGTTTCTCCTGAATGTTACTGGAGCATTTCACTCACCCAAAGACACCAGGCTGCTGTAGGTCTCCAGCATCACATCCCTGTACAAAGTCCTCTGAGCATCATTCAATTCCTGCCACTCCTCCCAGGTGAAGTCCACAGCCACATCCTCAAATGACACCAACTCCTGTAATGGCACATTGATCTCAACTCAAGCAACCAGCCCTGGGTCACAAAATACGAATCTCAAAGTTCACTCTTCTGCAAGTGTGAGTGTCTTATGTGTTAAATAAGGTGCTGCTTTTCTGTACTCCATATAGTGGAGGGGAAAAAAACCCAGCAGGAATATCCTGTCACTGCAATAATATATTAATTACTAAAAATATGATTACAAACCTTATCTTATAGTTAAGAACCATCATTGTTGCTAGTGATAAAAGTATGAATAAAATGTTGCTTCTCCAAGAAGTTTATAATCAGGTATGAAGACATAAGTATAACCTGAACCAGTGTGTTTGATAAACAAATTTAGAGACAAGTTCAATAGAGAATGGGGTAAGAAAGACAAAATATAATTCTACGTTGTATTCTGTTTGCACTTCACTGAAATGCCAAAGATGTTAAGCTCTTCCACGTGAACTACATGTTCTCATGAATATGAGGCAACAGCAAAACTTCAGTCACAAGAGCAAAGGAAGACACCCTATGTTAATGGAACCACACACGGCACCATGTCTAGATGAATGCTCATGAGCAGAGATAAAAAATACACAATTAAAGAAACACATTATGGAATGATCCTGCATTTAAATATTTGTCTATTTCAAACAGTAAAACATTATATACAATTGCTGTCTCTTAATTACTTATAAACTGAAAGCATATTCAAAGGCATTCCAAAATTTCCTTTGCACATTTTAAAGGATCGCTTGTGTCTGCATGAGAGTGAACACTGCACTTTGTAAACACAGGGTGTAAATAATGTGGTTTTGTAACTACAAATCAGTTACATACTAGATTCACAATTTAACAGTCATCCACCAGAAGAATGGAAAAAGCTTTTGAGAGCATCAGAGAAAACAGGGTGACGGAAGACCAGCTGCATTAGAACACAAAGCAAGGTTGGTTAGCTAGTTTACTTGGGAGAGCATGCAGCTGGTAACATTAAAGTCACAGGTTCATATCCCTGTATGGGCCACCCGATAGAAGAAAAAATAAAAAAATAAACAACAGAGCAGTAAGCAAACAGAACAGGAAAGTAATACAGAAACAAAAGTAGAAAGACACTGTGGTATTAAATTCCTGTGCAGAAAATAAAATAGTGTTTTACTCTTAGGTTCTATATATAATTACAGCTACTTAGGTACTGACACAGTAAAGTGTAGTTTGAAGAATGACAGAAAAATATAACAGGCAAAAATAAAACAGACTTGAATACGTTATACTTGAAATATCTGTTGGAATGTCCAAATAGCAATTGGATACATGATTCCAGAGTTCAAGAGAGAGATCTAAGCTGAAGATAAAGATTTGGAAATGTATTAATCCATTTCCATTTCTTAAACAAAATACCTGGAACTGGGTGATTTGTAGGAAAATGAAATTTACTGCTTGCAGATTTAAAAGCTGGAGAGTCACAAGTCCAGGGAACATAGCTGGTGAAGGCCTTGATGGAGATGACTGTGACCCAGGGGTATCACATGGCAGAAAACGGCAGGGCAGAGAGAGGCCAACCTCTCATGTGTTCTTCTTTTAAAGCCCTCAGAAACCCATCCTTGCCCACCATTATTAACTAATTATGGAATGGTGCTACAATCTAATCACATCATTCAGGCCCCATCTCTCAATTACCATAATAGGATTTCCCACCAACTTAACACTGTTACAGTGGGGGCCAAGTTTTGGGGGGACATTCAGTCCAAGGCAGGGAAAAATCAAAACTTCAATGTTACCTGAAGCCATCAGAATGAGTGAGCAAACCTAAGAGATTCCAAGTAAAAACAAAACAATACAAAAGAACAAGGACAGAGTCTGCAGAAGCACTTTATCTTTAAACATGAGATAGAGGAAA